GCAGGCACTTGTGCCACTGTACACCAGCCCCTGATGATTTAGCCTTATACACACTAGAACCTGCTGAGGTTAATGTTCATAAACATTGTTCTGTCTATTAACTGTCTTAGCAGAGACAGGTACCTGGAAGGTACTCAAAAGGTAACAGCTTATTGATCGGTAATTAATAACAGAGAAGAAGGAAATAGTTACATAATAATCTAAATGCAATGATAAATTCATATAGATACTAGCATTAATATGATAAATAAAAATTATGATGAAATTGTTATAGTACATCTGAACATATAAATAATCCACAACGGCATTTCCAAACTACACTGAGAGTGCTACTTAAATGAAAGACATACATATTTTTAGCACTTTTTCTTATTGTGAATATTATATAATGACAATTATTCAACTACTCTACTTTTTCTACAAAAGAGTTAACAGAGGAGTAAATAAAATGTGGTTCAATGATTTTTCTCAATCATAGTTCATGAAAATGATAACTGCTCTATTATCAGTATATACTTTTTCATATTACAGAATTATTTTCCCACATAGTAGGAATAGAGAGATGTAAACATTTCTTTTTTAAAATATGATGAAAGTCAACTAATAAGTAGATGCCAATCTACTTAGTCATAAATATTTTTATCCTGTGTTTAGTTTGTTGCACTAAATTTATTAAATGTATAAATGTTAACCTTGAAAATTATACATAATCTTCAATAATCCAAAAATTAAGGTATGGTCCTCAAAGATCAGAGTGTGTTTTGAACTGTGATTAAGTCATTACAAGGGACCCAATGGCTCAAAATCATAGCAGCAAATTTTCTAAACACACACACTCACAACTTGGAAAGTATGCATTTTAAAAATTGGAAGATTATATTAATATATAATCTCAACATGCTATATCTAACAAAATGTATTTCTTTCATGATATAGTGCTAACAATAGGAATTTATGAAGTGTAGCAATAAATAAAGTAGAATATTTGTGCAGGCAAATGATGTAATTCGTTAGTAACAATATAAGCAAAAATATGTAATCCGCCCATATGTCCATCTTTGTGTCTTTGCCTCTCTCTCTTTTTCTGTGTATGACTTCTATTCCAATTTTGTCTCCACAAAAGAAACATCAGCAGTGAATTCCCAGAAGACTGATAGAAACTAAATTATCAGAGCTCAAGAGTTTCAATTACTTATCTGCTTATATATTTATTTTCTGGTTTTATTATTGTATTTCAGCTTCAAAAAGAGGTAATAGAACACCTTTTCATTTTAGTGTATCTACTAAATAATTAACTATCTGATAAAATACATGTTTTTCATTCAATAGTTCTGGCACAATTTACCGTTTTATTGTAAAGCAAATGAAAGGACATTGGAAAAATTAGTTTTTTTTTTTTTTTAACAAAATGGTACTGCTTTGAAAATTCTACAACCTTCTAAGCTGCAATGGAAATCTCAAATGATGATTTAACTTTTTAAATAAGTATATAAAAGTTCTACCAGGCACATTTTAAAAGAGGGAATCCTAACAGAAAGCAAATATATACTTTTTTAGCACTGCTTTTTTTCTTAATGTACACATTACATAATGACTATCACTCAAGTACTCTAGTTTTTTTTCTACAAAAAACCCTACACATATTTTGCTTGACAAAATAACAGAAAGTACTTTAAACATCAACTGATTTAATTAAGTGGGACCATCAATTACTGAGCTTTTTTGCTGTAAGGTTAGACTTTATAAAAGGTGTTATCATGGATTTCTTCCAAATATAACTTCGGGGTTACTTACTGAGCTAGTATGAAATCAGTACCATCTCTTCTATTTTCTGGGTATTTAAGGTATACAATGAGAATTGATTTTCTGAGTGATAGCCCTGAAACCTAGCAGTAGTCTCAACTTATCAAAGAAAGATTCAATTATGTTCTTCTATTGCACTTTCCAAGGAAGAAAGTTAGAGAATATACTTAAAAACTCCCCTCAAAAAACTTGCAATAACCTTCAGACTAACACACCTAGAAAATTCAGATCATCCTTTCTCTAGCAGTCTCCACAAAAGGAATTTATGGTACAGCAATATTTCAAAACCTCAGCAGGTTTACGAATATTGATAGATATATTCCTATTGATCTCTACATTTATTACAATAGTCAGATGAAGTTCTTATTAAAATTGTGTGGAGATTATACATGTGGTGTTTCACTCACCAAAACTGCTGAGTAAAATGAAAGAACATGTATAAAACAGAAGCAGTCTACTTTCCCAGGAGACTGTGCTTATCTTTTCAGGTTCCAGCTGTTTTGGAACGGAGGCTGAACACTAGATGGGTGGCTGGACCAGAGAACTCAGACGATTCCTGTCAATCCTGACCTCCGGTGATCTGTGGAATGATGAGAATTAACTGGCCAGACCTCAAGACTTTTTCCTCCCCACTATGTGTTCTCCATAAAAGGCGACATAGTAAAAAGCATGTAAATACAAAGTGCCTCCAAAAAGGAAATAATTACAACAACAAAACATATCACTTAAAATTTAATTATGTTCAGTTTCCAGGCAAGAGAAATAGGAAAAAGGAGACGTCTTTCTTAAAGTGAACTGTCAATTTTGCTTTATCAAACAAGAGCTTGCAAAAGTAATTTCATCTGCTATTTAAGAAAAGCCTTAGTATGGTATTATCTCCCTAATCCATTAATGATTAACCTTTTAGACCTGTTAGAGTGCCCAAACTGCATCTCAAAACCCATTTATTTACCACAATGTACCAACAGTGTACCTGAATACCGAGGTTTTAGTTTAGAAAAATAGCTCAAGTATTAACGTCTTTTGACTGAAAAGCAAAATAAGTAATATGCATGTCATAGGTTTGTTGCCACTTCCCTAACCTAAAACAGGTTTAAGAACAAACTGTCAAAGTCCACATGGTGGATTAAAAAGAGGAACACTGAACACAAGTCTTACTGTCTTCTCGTTCTACTGGTCAGCAGAGTAGGATGCAAGTGATGTCTGATGTCATGGGAATCATTATTGACTTTGAGTAAATTTATCAAGATGCTAAGAACTACATAAAAAACCGAATAATTAATATTGTTAGGCCAAAGATCTATTAATTTCTATTGTGCAAAATAGGTATAAACAATAAATTATCTTCCATAGTAAGATTACTATGCTAGCCTTTGGTTCCTAAAATCCTCCATATTACACAGTGCTACCTATTCAGTTAAAATCTGCATGTCAGGCCGTGGTCCTCCTGGGCTCCATGCTCAGAGCTCTGTCATCCTGCTGAGCTCTCTCAGGAAGTCTTCCTAGTCCAACACTCTCACTATCCTTTTCATTTGTTCTCCAGACACTGACTTTTTTCTCCTCTGTGATATTTTGGTATCTTCCCCAATTTGTGAGTGTGCACATGTTCTCTTTTAGACTGTGAACCCCTTTACAAATACAGCTTGCATTTAATATTACTCTTGCCTAAATCTCTACAACCTCACACATGCTTCACATCTACTGGACATTCAGTCAGTATTTCTAAAATGAGTGAATTTGTGTATGACATTACAATCATTAAAGCAGTAAGTGAGATATAATCTTTCATCTGAGAAAAACACATGAGAAATAATACCCCCAAATGTTCTTTATGCTTATGCATTTCTCATGCTCCATACAATGGTGCAGATTTCTGAAAAAAAAAAAACTTGAAATAAGCTCTAGGCAGAGACAGTGGACTAGGTTTTGTTTAACATGTAGGCACACCTAGAAAAATTCAGGGACATGTGGCATGAGCTCTTTATAATGAAAAGCACTTTGTGACATCTAAAGAAAAATAAGTAGTACTCAAGGATTTCTACTAATAGCCATCATTTTCCCTGAAAAAATTTTTTTCCCTTACTCTAGAATTCTCCACTCTGATGTATGTGTAACCCTGGATGTTTGTATGGGTGACGGTGGTGAGAACTGCACCCTAGGGTCAAGAGAGAAACCACAGAATTAATGTCAAATTAATTATGTTGAAGGTTCATCTCCCTCACCCCTTCAAAGCAGTGGCCTCTTTTGATCCAGGCTCCCATCTTAGACAGATCCATCATCCACCTGCCCTGCTTCTCTCACACACCCACCTTCAGGGGTGAAAACCATCTGGTCCTTTTCACTCAAGAAACATCCCTCTTCCTCAGGTCTTCAGATCAATCACCAGCTAGCTCCCTTTTGGGACAACTGAAATAGCCTCCACATTCACTGTCACCCACCACACGCCCTCCCTATGTGGAAAGAAATCTCCTTCCTAAGTCAGTTAAATGAAAAGAAAATCACAAATGTCTCCCTCATACCTTTCCAGGTTTTTTTTCTCTTTTATTTCCTTCCTTCTTTTGTCATAGCTGCTCTTCCTTTTATTTCTACTTCTGAAGTAATTCTTGCTAAATCAAAGAATTTTAAACTTCTCAGACTCACGTGTTTTTTTAATAAATTGGTTCCAATAATTTTTTCAGTTTCACATGCTACTACTAAAATTTATGTACACAATTCTTATTGGAAGGAATGTCTCACCTTTGCTTTTGTAGGAAGGATTCTTTTGTCTACAGTGGCTTTCACTACTTTTCAGTCAGAATATATTTATCCTTCCACGCCCAGCTTGTCTCCTCCTTAAAGAGACATCTTCTGTTCTGTTGGTGTACTAAATGTAATATTCCAAACAAGACTTTGTATCCACCATTAGTATTGTGCTTTCTATACTTTCCAGAATGGGAGATCTTCCAAGTCACACACCAAATCTGATTTATCTGTCATACTAAGCACATAGCATGATACATTCCATGGAGGAAATAAGCTGTCAGTTTGGGAATAAGTAAAAGTACACAGAATACAATGTAAAAAAAATTTAATATGTTATTAAGAAGCCTTAAAATAAACTTTTTCATGTCCTATGTTAAATAGATTTGGAAGGCTTGGCCTTGGAGTCTAACTGCTTTGAGTAACTGTTTCTATGGGAATAGGGATTCTAAGTTCCAAACAGCACACATAAAAATGAACTTGCTGCCTTAATGCTCTATGGGGCTCGGTGGCTGGTGCTGAGGCTGGGAGGCAGCCCCAAGACATAGGAGCAGCTGAACCTTTCTGAATGGTGAATGAGCCTGAGAAACTCACTGCAGAGGAGCCCGGCTACTAACACAAAACAGCTCAACCAGCCAGCCAACCACCCAATGCTAATACTCTCTGCCCATCTGGCCCTCCCAAACCCCTGCCATGCTGATCACTGTGTACTGTGTACGGAGGGACCTCTCTGAGGAAACTTTCTCCCTTCAAGTCAGCCCTGACTTTGAGCTCTGCAATTTCAAGGTCCTCTGTGAACTGGAGTCCAGAGTTCCTGCTGAAGAGATCCAGATTGTCTACATGGAGCGATTCCTCACAGACAATCACTGTTCCTTGGGATCCTACGGCCTCAAAGATGGTGATGTTGTTGTTTTACTTCAGAGGGATAACGTGGGATCTCGGCCTCCAGGACAAACCCCAAACCAGTCTCGAGTTGATTTCAGTACAGTTCCTCAGCCTGGAACATCAAGCTCTCGACAGCAGCACCAGCACCAACACCAGCACCAGCAGCAGAATCACCAGCAGCAGAAGCACAAACATGCTTCCTCAGCCCAGCGGTCCCATGGCTTGGCTTCTGGAGAGAAGAGGGCCTCTGCCGCGGGTATGGACAGTCCTGCTGCGATTCGCAGTATGTTGCTTTCCAGTCCCCATGATCTGTCTTTGCTGAAGGAACGCAACCCTGTTTTAGCTGAAGCTCTCCTCAGTGGAAACCTTGAGACATTTTCTCGGGTTCTGATGGAACAGCAAAGAGAAATAGCCTTGAGGGAAGAAGAGAGGCTACGCCTCTTTTCTGCTGATCCATTTGATCAAGAAGCTCAGGCTAAAATAGAAGAAGAAATTCGGCAGCAGAACATTGAAGAAAACATGAACATAGCTATGGAGGAGGCTCCTGAGAGTTTTGGACAGGTGACGATGCTCTATATAAACTGCAAAGTGAATGGGTATCCTCTGAAGGCTTTTGTTGACTCAGGTGCCCAGATGACCATTATGAGCCAAGCTTGTGCTGAGAGGTGTAACATAATAAGGCTGGTGGACCGACGGTGGGCTGGAGTTGCTAAAGGAGTGGGCACACAGAGGATTATTGGTCGTGTTCATCTAGCTCAGATTCAAATTGAAGGTGATTTCTTACAATGCTCCTTCTCTGTGCTTGAGGAGCAACCCATGGATATCCTCCTAGGACTAGATATGCTTAGGAGACATCAATGTTCCATTGATTTGAAGAAAAATGTGCTGGTTATTGGCACCACTGGCACACAGACTTACTTTCTCCCAGAGGGTGAGTTACCCTTATGTGCTAAACTAGTAAGTGGTATTGGGCAGGAAGATCCTTCCAACAAAGAAGAGCATGTAAAACGTTCATTCAAGGATTCAGGGCGTAAAAAGCATTGAATCAGGTTGCAATGTGTCACCACCTTGAGGGAGCCTCAAGTTCTGGAAAATTATAAAACAAGAGCTCACTGGCAAAGTAATCATTAAAAACATCAGTAACAACTAAATGTGTCCTTGGGATTCAGTTTTTAGGTGGGCAACTATGTAAGAGGTGATTGCTTCACCTTGGCCCCTGCTTTCACTTTCCTTCCTCAAAGATCACTGACCCTCATTCTCTTAAGGCTCTGGAGGTTCTAGCTGGTTTTCAGATAATCTATGTAAAAGAAAACCAGCCTCTTTCTCCCGATTTTAGTGTACTCTGTGTGAAATAATTGCTATGTTTCAGAATCCTGTGGAAATAAGCCATTGCAACATATGTTATAGCATCTACAAATTTATTTCACATTAGCAAAAACAATTTTTCATACAGAGAAATATCTTTATTTTCACAGATTGTATTTTCTTTAAGAAATATATGAAAAATAGTAGGTCAATTATATTCTTGCATTAATTAGTACTCACAAAGGTTTGTTTTAGCAGTGTAGGAGCCAATTTCTTCATATTTATATATTCCCTTCCCTTGGCTTCTCCTGGAATCAAGGCCACTGCATCTCACCCTTTAATTCTTCACATAGTTTAGAGCAGAAGTTTCTCTTTCCATGTTCTAGAATAAATTTTGTTTTCCTGAACTCAAAATGTAGTGGTACAACAAACAAATAAATTATGTTTTTTAAGGTTATGATATGTATGGGTAGTTTAGGTTTTCAGTGGTGGGAGTAGGAGTGGGGGCAGGCAGGCAGTGGTCCAGGACCCTAATATATGTTTCAAAATTTAGTTAAATCCTCAGCTTAAAAATTCTGCTTCAGCCAAAGGACTTCACTGTTAAAATAATATTTGAAAAATTCTAAATAGAGAGATCTTTAAGGCTTCACTTAGCTCCATAATATACTCTGAGAAACTGACGCTCCATCTCAACTGATACTGTGCAGTGGAGGATCCTGGGCATAATTGCAGCCCTGCTCTAAAATACTTCAGAGTAAACGTTCGGTTGTCTGAGGCTGTTGGATGCAGGGAAGATATTTCAGGACAATAATTCATCAAGACTGGTATTAGAACAGTTGATTGATTCAAAGCAAAGAACACATATTCTGATTCTAGCACTGGATTATGTAGACAAATCACCCACACCTCATCTATAAATTGTTTCAGAGGAAAGAGCCACTTTTCAAGTGTTACAACTACATTATGATCTAGAATATTGTTTACGTTACTCTGTTTTTCCAACTAACAGCGTAGACCCTAGAAATATTGATAAAAGTGACAGAGAAAAAAAGATCCTCTTTCTAAAGAGCCATCACCTTTCTTCCAGCTGCCACCTTCTCACCACCCACCATTCTTGCAGGTTTCCCATGCTCACATTCTTCAGTTTTGTCTGCATTTGCACACAAGTACACCTAGCAAAACTGGAGCAAATGACTCAGTGGACAAAATTCTTTATTTTTGCTTTTTTTAAAATTTTTTTTTGTCTGTTTCTTTTTTATCGGTACCGGGAATCGAACTCACGACTGCCTGCTTGCAAGGCAGGCGCTTATGCCGCTGAGCTAAACCTCCAGCCCCTATTTTTGATTTTTAATTAAACATACAAGATAGAATTAACAAAGAGAAGGAACATATTCAGAGGAAAGTCAGGGATCAGCAAAGTGCCTACGACTATAGAATGTGAAAATCAGATCTGAAAAATTGATGGATTCTTTCAGATAAAAAGATGTAAAATGTTTAGCATCTACTGCTTCATTCAATTTTAAAGCCCACTTGTGCAGAACACACCCGATTTGAATGCATCACATGGTATTCCTTAAAATCAAATAAAAGTTTAGTATGTTGCTTGTTGGGATGTTTGACCCATATAGCCAGCTTAGACATCCCAGGATCTTTGAGGTAAGAGACAGTTTGCAAGACATCATACCTGACCACAGCCACCCTTCTCTCAAAGGAACATTTTCTGGAGGTCACTTTAATATTTTGGTATCAGTTTCAAGTACAATGTTTTTTTCTTATTTTGAGCTAAATTTAACATTCTATAGCTTTCAAAAAATTAATCTTCCCCTGCCAAAACATTAATCTTTTCTGACATGAGGTAATCTTTTTTGATACGTGAAATCAGTGTAATCCTAAATATTACTGTTGCAGGCTTTATCTAGATTCTTCAATTGCTCTTTATAGGATAAACTTGGACTCTATAAAAAAATTTGTCATGCTCCTTTGGACATATTCCAATTTTTAAAGTATTATTTGAGTGAATAGATGTTATATTTAAAACACTACTATTGAATTGAAAAGTAATACGCTCAAAGAAAAATCATTGAACAGTGAATTAAGTGATGCTTTCACTGATTAATTTTAAAAAATCATTGTCTTACAAATCAGAATATTTTAAAATTTAATTTCATAGATTTAAAGCATTGATGAAATTCTGTGTACACTTGAAAGTGTCCTAATCAGTTAAAATTTAAATGTATTAGTTTTGGTAAAAGGCTACATTTTTGCTTGTTTTATGTTTAAAAGCAGGCATGATATAAGGTACTGAATTTAGTATATTACTGTCATTAAGCCTCAGAATAAACCTTTTAAATATTTATGATTGACCCCATTTTGTGAATGGGAAACTTAAAGGTCAGAATTATTCAAAATTTTCAAATATCTGAACATCAGGATTTAAAAACTGAAACAAAAAATTTTAGAAATTATATTCAATATTTTATTTGTTCCTACTCCGTTTCATTTGTTTTTTATTTTCAGAAAGTGTCTCACTACATACTCAAGGTGGCCTCAAATTCATGGTTGATTCTCTCATGTCCTGGGATTATAGACAGACATGTGCTATCATGCCTGATTTCCTAATCAATTTCTCTCAGAAATGACATTTTATTATGCTTGAAACATCTCAGACACATATCACCAGTCTATTCTGCTGCATAGTTTACAAAATGCAACTGATTCAATGACCTCACCCAATTAAAACCTTTCTGATTTCAATGGCAAATTCTTTTCCTTATGTAACCTTTGTGTCTGGTATATTTTAATCCTTAAATAGAAAAAGTGTAAATTTTTATGAAATTTTACTTTATGTAAACCACCAAAATGTTACAAATAGGAATAACAATGCGGTAACAGTAATTAGCATACACTTAGCAACTACTTAATGAAAGCTCATGAAATAAGCATTAAGCCAAGATTTTATAATTATGAAAATGACTAAGCAATAGGTCCTGACCACAAAATGGTTAGGACCTGATAAAAATAGGAAACAGATTTATAAACAACTACTAACATAGACCCAAAATTATTAGTATATTGATACAAAAGAAAGAATTCAAATTTTAGGGAGTATCTTTAAAATAAGAAGTTAGCAAGCCAGTAAATCCACTTTTAATATGTCTAAAATGTCCATCACTCATGCTAAAACGATTATGCTTCTCTTAAAATTCAGGTTCTTAATATACAACTTGCAAATATCTACCTTTGGGAATCTACTTCATTATTTTTCTTCCTATTAGAAGTCAAGATAAAAGTAAGACACAATGAAAAAATACTCATTCAAAATAATAAGGTATTTTTAAAACCTCCATTGAATTATTATTTTCATCTACTGGCCACTTCAATAACTATCTTTCATAAAATGAAATAACTACTGTGATAAGCATTTCAAGGTAAGAGCAACGCAATCTGCTGCAGATAATTTAGGAGACTGAGGTAGTTCAAGTTAAATATAACATGATCTGAACCTCCCTTCTTAAAAAATCAGATCATAAAATTTCTTTTGTTTGTATGGAGAATTCTACTTCCCAAAGAGAACAGATAATTAGATGCTTGCATGTATGAATTCATCTTCACCACAGGTACTAAATGCTAGCTTAGTTTTAGTGCTGTTTTTGGAATGTCACATAAAAGAAGGTCATTAGTTGACATCAACAATTCTGTACAGATACCCCTGAAAAAATCCTAAGAATGATTTGGGATTCATAACAGGAAACTGCTTGTGAAACTACTAATTAATGGTAATATTCCTAGTTATTCCTTACGGTTAACAAGGGCCTGAATAACAAAGGAATAACGACAAAGCTAAACATGTACAATGTAAGATGAAGAAGAGGAAGAGGAAGAGAAAGAAGAGGAAGAAGAAGAAAAATAAGAGGTAAAAGAAAAAAGAGGAAGAAGAAAAGTAAGAGGAAGAAGTAAAAACAAATATAGATTGATTTTAACAGATTATTGGTTTAAATAGTGTTATTCAATACGGTGATGAAAATAGGGTAGAAATTATGGTGTAGTTACCATGGATTAGCTATCATTGTGCAATACTGTACTTTATTCTATGTTGGCAAGCTATCTAAAACTGAAAACATTTTCATTGATTTCAGGTTAGAGCTTGGTTAAAACTTGCTTGCAAATCCCAGTGTATTTCTACACATGAGTTGGTCTGATAGCATCTTTTGAGTTTCTAAAGGTCTGTGAGAAGAAAACATTGATGCTTACCCTCTTGCTCTGGGTTCTGTGCCCTCCTGCCAGGTTGCACAGAATGGACTGCCAAATGGGTGCATGCCAATGACCCTGTCCGTGGACTGAAGTAAATGCATTTTACTTCATTTGACTGGTTCCTTTTTACTTATTTATTTATTTTTTTGCTTCCTTTTCTTGTTTTTTTTGGGGAAGCACATTTATGAATTCCACTTTTCTACATTTCTAATCAGTAAGGCTTACGCATGTCATTATCCATAATCACCAGTTAAATTGCCTTCTATGTTCAGTCCATGGAGGCAGAGTGGCTATGTTTCAGGTGATATATTTTTCTATTACTAGTTGAGGTATGGATGCTATGTCCTAATAAATAAGAGAATGGTTCCTAACAGAAGCATATTTCAGGTAAATAATCATTTAAATTCAACAAATTCCTACTCTAAAATATCAATCATTATTCTGGAATCTTCACTGTAGAGTTTTACTACAAGGATTCCAGACCAAAAAAAAAAAAGGAAAATTAGTTTTACATTATAGTAACTCACAGATTTTCCTTTTCAAACTCATGTCAGACCTAGGAATTCAGTTTGTCAGTC